GGTAAAAAAAGAAAAATCAAAGAAGCGGCTCTAATTATGCTAAATGAGGCCAATTGTGTCGCAAATTCCTCGGCAGAATGTAGTAGGATCTGGTTACCAATATTGAAAGAGGAAGTTATTAATAAGAAAATACCAGTATTAATAAGTCAGTAACATATAGAGGATACATCATTTATGTTTTTTAAATAACGTAACATATAAAATCAGAATTTTGATGTTTGTTGAAGGTAAACTAAATTCACTAACAAATACTTACAATGTCGGGATAGTATTATGAGGTTTTTTCCTGGTTTTCCCTCATAATTTACTATGGAATCACTAACAGGAGAATTTTACTGTCATCATGTCATGTGTTTGTCTTTTTAAAGACGAATTACATGCTATGATTTTTTTCTGACGGATATTCTCAAGTTAAAGTTGATTTCATGTAATCTAATGAACTATCTTATAAGTAAAGTCGTCCCAGGAGAGCAACTCAACAATATTGGCAATATCATTTTAAAGTCGTCTACTTTAAAGTGCATAATGTATGTCTGAATTGTCAATATAAATGAGTCATATAAAATTAAATTATTAGAAGAATTTTTCACTATGTAACAAAAAACAAAATTTGTTTAATTTACTGTTTGTATTTTGAGAACGATTTCCGAAGTGGAAATTGAAACGTCAATAAACGTATTTTTATCTTTAATTGTGGCTTATTCCCAGTTTAATAGTAATTAATTATTCTAAACATTCTTTTTAAAATTTGGCGCTTTTAATACAGTTGGTAGCATTATCAAAGGGTAAGTTTTAGACTTTAATCTGTTACCTTTCACGTTGTAACACACATTTTTTTCTCGATATGTTCGATAAAAAATGAGAACAGAACGATCGTAGCCAATGCAATAGAAATGGCAAATTATATTAGTAAAATAATAGTTACTGTTACAGAAGACATACTTGTGCTACGTACTGCCATCACTCCATCGGACATAAAAGATTACCTCATGAAACCTGCTCAACAAAAGAATTATATTCTTCTAAGGGTTTGGAGCACTTTTCATCTGTGCAAGAAAACATTTTATTACTGCATACGATTACAGGTTGCGATACGGTATCTGCTACCTTTGGCCAAGGTAAAATAAAATGTTTTAATAGTTTTCAAAAAGATCCAAACTTAATATTAAATGCACAAAAAATTAAACAACGTGATGTATTAATTTATAAATTAAGGGGGCATGTTCACGCCACAGTTAAAATGAGTGGCATTGAAATAAACTAACGCTTAACAATTCTTTGAGTAGATGGCAGCATGTGTATCATATTCTAATATTTTAATTTTACCGAAATTTAATTGTCTAAATAGTGACATAGCTACCAGCGAAGCCAAGTACTGGGACTTATAATATATATACGATCGGCACAGTTCGCTCTCAATCGGCAGTATTGTTCAATGTAAGTTGATATTACCTATTAGTAGAATTTCTAAAATTTTTATTTTCGGATTGGATCATTCGATATAATTTTCGAATGGCTTTGAATTCATGGCCAGCTTAATATTGCCCGAAAAGATTATTGCTAGTTTGTAGTATATGTTAATGATACAGAGCCCCTATTTGTTAAAAAAATTGGGCGAGATGAAGAATTTTGGGCTCGAATGATAGAAAAGCTCAATAGTTTGTTTTTATAACTGCTTTTTACCGAAAATGAGACCAAAACAAAAAATGTCTGAATAAAAATCATTAAATTTCTGATATGATGTGTGTTGTTATAACATTTTTAAGTACTAAAAATAGAAGTAAACACTAAAAAGTGTATCTATTGTTACGTGTGGAAAGTCCCGCAGTTACTTTCCGTAAACCTCATAATTTATAAACCCAGCAGCGGTCGCTAAAGGCTGATTAGTTCCTTGCTTAGGTTTAATTTAATTATTTTACATTTTTCTTGGCAACAAGGCTATTGAATTTATATTTATTTTCAGCCGGTAAACCAAAACCTTCCGTTGCTAAATCAATTTCTTGTTTATTTTGAACTTCACTCTGTAAAAAGCTTATTAGCCCACTCCATCTTGTTTCTAACGTTGTAATTTCTGCAGTTTCTCCGATATTTTCCATGGACACGGAAACATAAGATGCCATAGTCGAATCATATCTTCTGGCAATATGACTCAATAACAGGATACAATATCGTTGCAAACTTGTCAGCAGTTTTGTCTAAGGTCTCAAGTGAACGAAGTTGACTCTCAATTATACCATAAAGAGCAGAAATATTACAGAGACTACTAGAAACTCGACTCGAATTATCTTTAAGAGCTCTATAATGTACACTTCAATCTGGAGATCCTCTCTGCGAAACCTAGACTACAAACTCTAAATAATTTTTCAACTCGATTGGAGGTAATTTGCGCTTACCTTTTACACTTGATAACTCAAAGTAACTTGCACTCTATTTATTCTTTGCCTCCATCTTACTGATTAACTCTTCTTCGGAAGCTTCTTCGAATATACTTTTAAGTACGGCACGTTCCACTTCAGAAAGCTGATTGTACTTTACTTGTGAGACTTACAAGTAAAGCTAACAAACTGTCCAAAATATTAGCAATTTTCGTAAATAAAATACGAAGTAACGTTCAGCGTTTTCTATCTGATTCCATTTTCCGAGGTTAACTTTGGCGGACTCTCAGGGCAAAAACAATTATTTGCCGGAAAAACGTTTGCACTAAAATAAGCGAAAACAACTAACTTCCCGTATATAAATCCTGTTACGTCCCGTATTTATTTTTCGCAAAAGATTCGGGGTTCGAAATAATACCAAATTAAATTTTAAGTACAAAAAACTTACTTTTGTGTTAAATTACACAAGTGTGGTTTTATTATACAGTGGTAGAAATGGTTACTCTAGTGGTAGAAATTTGATTAAATCATCTTACCAGCACTTCTAGATATTGACAATTCTGAATTCTTTACCTGCCCAAAAATATTTGTTCCAAACTCATATGTGAAATTATTTGAAAAACAGGTAAATAATAAACAAAAAAGGTATTATGTTAATTGGACTATTTATTTATAAGAACAGTATTTCTAAGAAATCTAAAATACGTTAGTCAGTTGAAAAACAGCGTTACTACAATAACAATTTTTTTCATATCGAATGTTAACAGGGAAAGTTTGAGTGCCAAGGATAAAAATGGTATAGGTACTTGTACTTTTAAAACACTGTGGCGTTATGCAATCATGATTGATAATTGAAAGTCAAACGAGACCAAAATATTAACTAGAAGGGGCAACTTTGCTAAACAAAACAACGTGATTCGTATTACCATGGTTACTGCACAACAAATAGACAATTGGCATAACCACAATACTAGGTTTCAATGTTTTGCAGATTTTTCTTAAATTCAGCAAACATGAATTTATCGCTATATAATACATCACTGCTATATTCTACTAAATGGCACGTAAACTTCTTTTCATATATATTAAGTGATAACGGAACTAATTTCTCACTATCAAAATGTCAACTTATAACGGTAACATCAACAAAATCCCTAGTTTGCAGCTTTTAATTGTGTAATTTTATCTTTAGGTACAGTTAATTTAAACATTACGGCAGTATGGATAACGAACATTTGCTTAATATAAAGGTTTTTGGATACTTAGTTAATCATTTAAAGTAATTATTTTGTACCTAAGTTCAAAAATTATTACTCAATACCTACCAATTTTTAGGCACGTTACCACGTAAGTTATGAAATTGATTCATTTAAGTACAGTTATGAAAAAATTACCGCTTTCTTTGGAAATTTTAACTAGATATCATTAAAATAGAAAGTTTATAGTTTACGTACATAGTCATAAATTGAAGATTTGTTTTGAAATAGTGACGATAACTGTAGCTAAAAAGTATATAAATATTAACATTGTGACATACCACCTTAATTGAACATGTCGCCAACTACATCCATACTCACTGTAGAAAGCTTAACATACCAGAGAAATATAAAGACAGTACGACTCAGTTGGCAGATATGAATACATATCGACTGTATTTAATGCCAATTGGAAAAATCAAGAACATTGTCCTCGGTAAAATGCTCCTGCGTTTACCTAGCACCTGTAACCTTTTGTACCTGAAGAGAGTATATCTTCAGGTACAAAACTAGCGCTACGGAAAGCAAAAAAAACGAACTTTAGTTTCCATAAAAGTGATACAATTATTAGCTGCTCCAACAAGCGTCAGAAGCTTGATATTTCGCGGGTGCAAAATCGATTGTAGAAATTCATTTTCATACAGGAACACGGAAAATAACGAAAAATATGAAAATGAATCGGTAGACAAAGAAAATGAAACGGTGGATTCGGATTTATAAAAAATAAATTGAATTTTATAATGAAAAATAAAAATTTAACATTTATTTACTGTGTAACCTAACAGCCTAATATTCGTGATCAACGACCCCGAAAACATCCGAGTAATGAGTTTGCATTTGATTTTGTATTGGATTTTAATAAAAATCCAAGGACAAGACCCATCCTAGGCACCAGGTAGCTCGGAGATCATCACCAACATGATATTCGTGTTCAGCGAGTCCAAAAACCTCCGAGTAGTAAAATTGAACTCATTTTCGTAAATTATTTCCGAATTACAAATTTATTATTTTTTATCACTGCGAAATGCCCTTTAAAAAATGCATTTCCTTGTTCAATAATGCAATTTTCATTTCGACATTATCACTTAAGTTCACTAAATTTGCTAATCGTCTTACGGATCGAATGTAACAAATTCCATTGAGATCCATCCAACTTCAACTAATTGGTAGGTAAATTGCTTCACTGTCTCGCTCAATAGATAAATCTGTAAATTTATTGAAAGTTACTGGCTTTTAGCCAAGAGAATATGTCTTAAAGACGTTTATTGAAAGCATAGAGTTTTTCTATGACGATTTCAGGAGAAAGTGTCAGACAGCTTTTATCGTCGATGTTGAGAAGAAAGAATATTAATTTTTTGGGTTGTTATACCTGAAAGGTTGCTGGGACAGACATTTCCCCAGATTCAGGATCAGCTGCTCCGTAAAGTTGTTGGTATAGAGCCGCCGCTGCAAATTGTGTATCTCTATGCAAATGCAGCGATCTATTAAGAGCAGCATTACTTTCTGCCATCCCTAAAACAAAAAAAAAAATGTTGCGAAATTTACCATGTACTAGCTTTTGCAATATTCTTATTACAGTACAACAAAAAATTAAGGAATGTGGCACATACATGTAATAGAATCTACTAATAGTACGAGGTGCAAATCAAATACGTCGTTTACTATAACAAAATCAAAATAATATGGGTCCAGAACATTGTAATAACGCTTCTTACATTTTAATGAGTAATATTGAGTCCCTTTTAGTTAGCCAGCTGTAAGAATAGAAGTATTCACAAAGTTTTTGTGAATTTGTTTAAAAAATTTGTTAAATTTAAAAGAAAAGATTAATAAATAATTGAATAAAGAAAAATCTAACAATGAAAATGACTTTGTGCTCTGTGATTTACAATTATCGTTATAGTACCTAGTACCTTTAACAGAAATATACTAAATTCATTCTTAAATTTTTGTATAAAATTATCTTACAACGATAAAGATATCTACATTTAACACATAAAACTTTTTACTTACTTTATAAATCATCGGAATCCATAGAGTCTTCTGACTTGTTGACGCCGACCTATAACAGGTTGACTACAACTTCCGCATTTTGTGGGATGTATGTATATGATCCATACTGGTTTGTACTATATATCGATTCATTTAAGCCCAAACTCATTCAATTGGTTGTCAATAACCCCCTACTCGTTGGACTGATGATTTCAAGAAACTGTCAAGAAATTGGATGAAAAGTGCTCAAGACTGGGTGATGATGATGATGATGAATTCAATTAGATTCAGCTGGTCATACTGCCTTACCGTTCTTCGTCCTATTTAACATCTCGGCAACTTCATCTCTCTCTGTCCCCGGTATTACATTCTTATTCAGGATTCCGCATCCTATCTCTCCTCCGGTGGTTTTCATTTAGCAACTTACTAAAGTACTCCTACCATTTTTGCTTTATTTTAACATGGGTTCTTAACACTCTTTCATCCGCACTCTTAATCTGCTGCACATGAGTCAAGTCCTTTAATGACATGTCCCTTGCTTTAGCAATTCTGTATAACCTTTTCATCACCTCGGGCGTTTCCAACTCTCCATACAGCTTTGCAGACGATCTTTCCTTAGTACTAGCTACAGCACGCTTTGCTGCCCTCTCTGTAACTTGTATATATCCTTATCTTCTTCTCTTTTAGACCTGCCATACCTCTATCTAGCCTCTTTCTTACCTCTAACTGTCTGTTGCACCTCATTGTTCCACTAAGTTTCTTTGTCTCTAGGAGGCCCATTACCAGATGTTTTTCTTAGCACTTACTTTCCCACTCGCACCATAACTTTATTGTTGGCTTCCCATCCGTGATTTACCGTATCTTTTTCCTCAAGCTCTTCCAGCGCTCTACTATTAAAGACTATTGCAAACTCCTTATCCTTTACCTTCCACCACTTTACTTTCTGGTGTTCTACTATCTTTCCTTTCCGCCTCACCTTTATCCCCGTATTTACTATCACCGGTCGATGTCGTTTAGCTACAAACTCGCCCTTTATCACTTTACAGTTCGTAACCTCTTTTAGCTCTGTTTAGAAGAAGCTGACTTCTTCTACACGGCACAAAATCTATCTGACTTTCCATTCACCCGCTACTATAAGGAACATACTGGTCTTCCCCCTTCATAAAAAATGTATTAATGACAGCCAAATTCCATGCCACTGCAAAGTCAATCACACTATTTCCTTCATAATTTCTTATTCCCATTCCCAGTCCTACATGAAGTCTTTCTATTCCCGCTCTTTTTGTACCAATATGTCCATTTATTTGCCCGTTTTATGCCTTCCAAAATTCTGCCTTTTCCTGTTCTTCACACCCTACCTGTGGTGCATAAGCACATGGTATGTTCACCTTGTTCAGTTGGACACGCATTATTATATCGCTTCTTCTGGTTACTCTTCCATTCGTTGTTCAAAATAATACTTAGGTACTCCATTTCTACCATGACTGTTCAAACTACTATTAACTTGCATCCATCTCCAAGATCTCTCGATTTCCATTCCACCTTTCCAACGATTTCACCTTTCGACGATATTATCTTTCCTCTGATTGCGTCTATTTTACTTAAATAAAAATTAATGCACATTCTGAGGACATCTTTTTCGGGCTCATCCAACTTAATAGGTTTTACACGTTGCAATTATTTCGTCATCTGTCATGACACCATAACCTCCCTCGTTGTTGTCTGATAACCAATCATTGACGTCGTCGATCTCAACATCGGAACAACCATCAATTCTTGCAAACATGCCTAATAATTCCTCTGCATTAATAGTGGTTTCATCTGATTTACTTATTGTTCCATCTGATTCACTTGAGTGCGAAGTGTAAGCATTCGTTATAAGGCATATGTTTGGTAACAATCTTTTCCAAGACTTTTGAAGAGTGATTTTTTTTACATGGTCCCAAGCGTCTGAATGTAGATCACGTCTTTGACGTTTATACGCTTTAACAAATCAATCAGGCTTAGTTTGCCTTCTTCTTTAATAACTTTGCCTTAAGAGTTCCCTACGATAAACACGCTTGACAGTTTCCAAGACACCCTGATCCATGTTAATATCCACGTGTATGAGATCTTCTTCTGCAGGATGAGATGGTGCATTGTCGAGAAACAAAATCGCTTTTTCGGGCAGTTTGTTTTCTTTGAAGAATTTTTTCACTTCAGGGACGAAATTGTCAAAAAACCACTAGTAAAAATAAAGCTGTTCATCTACGCACTTTTTGATTTTGATAAACTACAGGCAGAGTTGCACGATTTACATTATTAAGTGCATGGGGATTTTTTGACTTCCCAATTATCACTAGTGAAAGTTTATGGTTTCCCATAGCATTGCTACAAGCCATAGCAGTTAACCGATCCTTGATTTTTTGTAACCCTTGGCTGATTCCTCAACTTTAGAAGCCAAAGTTTTGCTCGGTAAAACAGTCCTGTTTCGTCCGCATTGTAAATTTGGTCAGGTAACAGGTTCTCAAAAGAAATAATTTGTTGAAATTTGTCCTTACATCGTTCACTGCCTGCCTGATCACTAGAAAGGCTTTCGCCAGTGACGGATAATTGTCGGATGCCATGCCGATCTTTGAACCGCTCTAGCCATCCCTGGCTAGCTGTAAAATCTGGATCTAGATTTTGTAATTTTTTGTTTAAGTTTGCCGCTTTCTCAGACAAAATCGGCCCAGAAATAGGGACACCACGTTCTCGCTGAGTACTAAACCACATAAATAATGCCTCGTCCAACAATTCATTTTTAGCCTTTTTGATAGTTCCTCCAGCCTGTAAACTTGATGTCTTTAGATATCATCTTGAAACAAAGGTTTCGATATTTTTCCGATTTTTTTCCAGTCCGACATAGATGATGTCGATAACGCACGAATATATTATCATAAAATATACACCGCACTATCAATTCAATATTTTTCCGATTTTTTTTCTAGTCCGACACAGTTGATATCAATAACGCACGTATATCCGATCACAAAATATACACCGCACAGTACGATAGCCGAACGATGTCTTCCAGTAGCTAGCACATGACAGACTGACTGACTGTCTTTGAGTCCTGAACTCGGGTCGTCCGCCGTCACCGTTGACAATGAGCGAGGCCTTTGCCTCGCCGCCTGGACGGGGTGAGTGCCCGTGCCGGCCGCCGATGAAGGGGATGGGGGTGCGGCGGTCATTGGTATGAAATAACTCTTTTTATCGTTTCCATAGACCGACCGATCACTCAAGGCGCAAGTCGCATTACATACATACATACAATTAACATAACATTTTAGAGTCAATAGATGTTGCCGATGTTAATACTTAAAACATTATTTCGATACATAAATAGATCAGTTTGGGAACATACATAATAATAGTTAACACATGCACCAATTTTCTCTCAGTTCAGAAGTTGAGTAAATATTTTTCAACATTTTCAACATTGTTTCTCTAACAAACAGTACCTATAGCTCTACATTTACCTTTTAAATCAAGCATCAGTTCAAACATGGATGGATATCTTACAATGATTTCATCTGTATCTATTGTTAACATTGTAAAGCCAGCTCTGGTCAATAAGCTTCCTATATCTCTTACTTCAGTAAACGGAGAAATATGTGGGGATATTCCACCTCTTCTTTCTAGTTCTGCTAATTGAAGGGAAGATCGTAACTCGTATAACGTGTCACCTCCAAACACTGAAGCTAAAAAGACACCATCCTCTTTAAGGCTCAGCAGGATCCTTTTAAAGGCTTTTGGTAAATCATTTACCCAATGCAAACTAAGACAAGATATAACTATATCCAATGAATTTGGTTTAAACTAAAAATTAATACGTTTATATTTTATTTTCATAGCATATCCTTTAACATAATAATCTTAAAAGCCAATTTTACATTACATTTTATTTGTGTCCATTTAATCATTTGATATTATCTGTAACTCTTAAGTAATTCTAAATCGCTAAAATACTTAATTTTTCTAATAAAAAGTTTATTTGCTTAATATGAAAATTTATTTATTTATTATTACGAGTATATATTTATTTGTTTATTTAAACATGAATCTTAAAATTTTGGTTAAACGTGACAAACTAACATCAATTCATTGAAATATGTAACGACGAAGCTAGGAACCGACTGTCTGTGATTCTTTAGACCATGAGTTAGTAAAAACTAAAATAATAATTAGTATTACAACAAGCCATAAACCAAATGTAAAAAAACAGAAATTTCAGCACTAATAAATTAAAGAAACCCACAATATTATTAAAAAGGCTTTGCAATTTGCAAAGGCAATTTTTACACCATTAAAAGCATATGAAGTATATACAAAAACGCTTTTGTAATAGCAGTAAAAGAAGTTGTCAGATATAAATAAAAAAAGTGTAAACCGTAAATAACCGTGGACCAAATAAAAGGTGGTATATTATACTAGCGTGAAGCTTCATACTAATTTTGCTGTATTTTTAAAATTTAAATATTATTTTTAAAATGAAAGAAATTTTATTAATCATTTATATTTTAAACAAATTATATCAAAATAATTTAATAAATTGTTTATCATTTAATAATTTAACAGGTTGAGGGTAGGTAGGAGAAGGGATGAGTGTGGTTGTGGTTATGATCATCTACTACTAGGCTAGTGTATAAGTGGGCGCTCATAACGAGGCGCCGACCATAGGATCGTATCATACTATTGATCGACAGGAAAATAAATGTGTTACTTTAAATGTAAGCGTTCACCGTCAGTGCTATGATCTAGGCGTAGATACGATGCGATAGTCCCCGTTATGAACGTACCCTAAGTCCACTAAGAACTCGATAGACCGGCGGAGCATAACAGTATCGCATTAGTATTGGTGCCAGGTCACGGTCGCCGACAAATAAGAGACAACGAAAGAGCTGAGGAAATTGCTAAGAAAGGATTAGCTACAAGACACTTTGGTCCAGAGTCGACCTTACCAGTGGCAAAAACCACTGTCAGCGACCAAATTAAAATTTAAACACAATTCCACTGGGAAACTGTAAATATTCGAAAGACAACGTTGCAACGTTGAAGAATATTTCGATCAAATATAGTTAATAATGAACAAAATGCACGATCTTTCGAATGAAAGCGCCCTTACCACGACAAATGAAAGTTTTGAAGTATGTAATATTGTCTGGCTATATAATCTACAACGACGTCCAAGGCCTTTCTCCTAAACTTCTAAGGCAATAGGAAAGTATGTATGAAATAAAAAAGATAAATTGTGTGATATACCGAATTAGAAAACTACCAAACGATAACAGTTTTCCATATAAATTGCCAGTATTTAAACAAAAGTTCGCTTTGATGAGTTGGAAAAACAGCTGTCAAGAGTTATTAAGTTTAGATAACAATAAAACCACGTTAGAAAGATACCCTGCCGAAACAGCTGTAGTGAAAATAAATTGTAATAATTTTTGTGGAAGTATAAAAAATAAAAGTTTTTAGTGTTTTATTGTTATATAAAATGAACTTCCATCAAGCAGCGGTCGAATCAATCGCTTATTTAGTAGACTGTTAATTATTCTTCCACTTGTGCAGATATGGAAGCATTTGCCACTCCAGCCACCAAGAAAACACGCCGGGAATTTCTGATCGGGACTTAGGCATTCAATGGTGGTGCATATAAAAATAAATAGTTGAATAACGTCTGACTGGTCAGTAGTTTTATCAGATAGCGAGAAATACTTGCATTATTAAAAAATTTAATTGGTGATTTTTCGATTTGTTCTCCCAAATAAAGCAACCTCCTCTGTAAAATTCGATTGGAAAGTGGCACTGATTCGAATTTCTCAACCATTTTAGTACATATCTCCAAAAGCCATTGTCATTTCCCTAGAACACCTTTTAATGAGGCTGACTTTTACCTTTTAATTGACTTTGTAAGTCCAAGTCATACTAGGAGACCTGGACAAAGAAGTGAGAGATCAAGTACAAAAAGCAAATAGACTGGCAGATTGCCTTAATAATACTATATGGCGAAACAGAAACATTAACACTGAGATGAACTTAAGAATATATAAAGCCAGTGTAAGACCAATAATGGCATATGCCTCAGAAACGTCGTCAAAATAGCAAGAGGTAAGTCACCAATCGGCAAAAGAAGTATCGGACGACCGCGTAAAAAATAGAGTGACAACCTTCCACAGAGCACTTTCCATTGCTTATAAAGAGGAACTAGAAGAAGAAGTCATACTACATAGAAGCTGTATAGAAGAATTTCGTAGGACTTTACTTAACATATCAGTTATCTATTATCATATTTATCAGCACTATATATATTATATACTGCGTTGTTGAGTAATGTTGTTTCCCATTATACTGCTGATACAGACACAATTTGCATATATACCAAATACTAAAGCTTCTCGCCATTGTTAGTTATTAAATAGTTGATATTCCAGCTTTCCCTGTAACTTGTTTTCATTTTAAATTTCACGTTTTTTTTTACTTTCTGCTGAACCGCTTTCTTTAGTCAGCTAGGACTCTACCAGTTCTCCAAGACTCTGAAGCTAGTTGAAATATATGTTATTTAAAATTGCATTTTATTTTAAGTGTGAGAAGTACAACCTTTCCTTTTTCCAATCTCTTTTCTAGTTCCTAACTCACTTATCTGTGATAGTATACCTTAACTCTACTTATTCACACATATGTTTTCTACCTGTTTATTACAGCCCACTTGCTAGCAATAATGAGAGGTTAGGTGCATCTCTAGATGACTCTGTATATACCTCATGCCTTGTTATTAGATGTTCTAGTATGGCAGTAATGATGATCGCATCACACCTAACGGCAGATTCCATATTCTGCCTATCTATCAACTCCAACTCTTAGAAACCCGATTGTAAGTAGCAAAAAACACCATTTTCAAAAGCTCACCATGTCAGGTTTGCTTCCATTAGGGCAGTTGTGACAGGGCCAAAATCTGTCTGCATTAACTTGGAGGTGCACAATACAATTTACCCATATTCCATCAATGGTACAAAATACCTGAAATAACCTTGAAAAACTTCACTACAACACTCCAAGCAACATGTGACTGTGAGACTTACTATCTATTGGCATACTATTGACGCTCTATGGGATGGAAGGAAACATGTTACATATACAAAAGAAGGTCCAGCAATGTACGATGCAGCACCTTAATTAAAAGGTTCACTATTAATTCTAAATCAATTTGCCTGTTTAAATTTCTGCAGTATAAAAATAATTAATATTTCAGATGATTTACATAATTGTTTCATAACTTAAGAGGAAACTCCAATTAGATCACGTTCACACAGACTTTTCCACAGCATTTCACACTGTGAATCATAAGTTATTGTGTAATAAGCTAAAAGCTATCGGATTTATAGACAATCTTTTCAGTTGATCTTACAAACAAGATATAGTTTGTCAAGTTAAAAATGTTCAGTCTTGTGAAATTTTATTAAAATCAGAAGTACAAGGTACAACTGAGTTGCTATCATCAAGTCCTCGTAAACACTTTGTCTCAGGACCAGCAACTTCATGTGGAGTCATATGTCGCCATGTTACCATATCCACTGGTAACTTTAACATATTAATATATAATACCATATAATGTAAACGAAATTTAAACATATAACTTTTAACGGGTTTTTGCCTAGATATCTAGTGGCTCAATACATGTACACCTAGACACTGATGATGGAACATGGATTCCGAAAACGTTTTGTGATATAACCCGATTGGGTTTTTGAAATTATATACCTTTTATAAAGGATTTTAATAATTTTTTTAAATAATTTCTTTGTCTTTTCTTAGCCTCTGGAGAATAGTTATGTTACTTGTCTGGTGTATATATGAGACCCTCAACATACGTCGGTAGCAAGCACATTTCCAATGCCCCAATCGTTTTATGGCATCTTGTGTAAGGCTCCAGCTTTCTACCCCATAGAGGAGGACACTAAAGATGTAACATCTAAGAATTCTTATGTGTATATTGATACTTAAAGATAAGTTGCAAAGAATCTTCCTAAAGCTTCTGGCTTTTTCAACACGAGTTTTTATTTCATAGCTGTGATCCCAAGTATCTTTAATATTGCAGCCCAAATAGAATATTTTTTCCACTCTTTCTAACGGTGTATCGTTAATTGTAATTTGGGCGTTTATGCCGGTGTTCTTACTAATGTTCATTATTTTTGTGTGCTTGCAATTTAGTTTTAGGCCGTATTTGTTACATGTTTCTACAACGTTATCCATCATCATTTGGGGTCCCTACGCACTATCTGCCAGCAACACTGTATCGTCTGTATATCTAATGTTTTTTATAAGTTGACCATTTACAGCAATCCCATCTTCTGATTCGTCCAAGGCCTCTCTAAAGATGTTTTCAGACTATATGTTAAATAATGCCGGTGACAATATTCAACCCTGTCTAACTCCTTTTTCGACTGTGAAGATCTCGGACAGTTCGTTTTCTAATCGTACTGTTGCTTTTTGTTGGAGATATAAGTTTGAGATCAGTCTTATATCCTTACCATCGAGTCCTGATGTTTTTAGGATATCGATTAGTTTTCTATGTGGGACTTTATCAAATTCCTTCTCAAAATCAATGAAACATACTTACACATCGCAGTTGACATTCCTGGCTCTCTGTATTAGAACTTGCAAACTAAAAAGTGCTTCTCTCGTTCCGAGTCCTGCTCTGAATCCAAATTGAACTTCACTCAGTTGTTCTTCTAATTTGGTGTATATGCGCGGGTGAATAATAGTAAGGAGTACTTTAAATGCTCATTTACTGATTTAATGTCAATGACATTAAATCTCAATTAGCCATCTCAAAAAGTGTCATTTAATAGGATTCTCTCTAGAAGAATGAATAGCCTCTCTGATAATTACAACTTGGCTGATAAAGGCTTAAATGTATATCAAATATAATGAGATCTAGGTATTCGATTAGATTCTAGACTGAACTTCTGATCTAATTATGAATATGTGAACAACTAGGAATTTAAAATGTTAGGCTTCTTAGTTAGAACTTCTAGATGTTTGCATGATTTATATTTCCTTGGTTACATCTCTTCTTGAATGCTGCTTAGTGTTTTACATATAATTGGGTGGTACCTGTTAATAAATAAATAAATAAATAAATAAATAAACTAAAAATATATTATTGCTTTGTTTTTCTAAAGGCTTTCGAGAGCTGCAATGATTTACATCCACTGTTCTAGACTGTTACTCCTTCTGAGCTGATGATTAATTGTAAAATTCGAAAGAATAACTAATAAGAGTTGATTAACCTCTTCCGAGAATAATAGTCATATTCAATTCATTGTCAGGGGTTAAATTTTTAATTTCTGTCTACCAGGTAATGAAACATATCGTTGATGTCATATCTTGCGAGGTAGCAGGAGTAAAAATTAATTGGTTGAAGTAGAAAACTGAAATATAAAATCCTAGCTTTACCTATGTGAATAATGAAGTTGTGAGATCATAAAAAGCGTGTGCTTAGTATATGAAAACACCATACATTACTTACTTAAAATAAATCCATATTGATATTATTTTTAAATTTTTTATTTGAACATTTTAATTTTTGGCATTTAAGATTATTCATGTACTTAGTTGTATGACAATAATTGATATGTCCAGATTTTTGAAAAAATGTGGTTTTTTGTTTAGTATGTTATTTAGTCACATTATTTCAAGTTGCCAAAATTTTATATCTGTTTGTTAGTAAGGTAATATAGTTAAAATAATTTGCTAATTAATTTTAAAATTTCTTAGATTTTATCATATCTTTTAAACATTAAATTGCTGCTAAACATATTAGGCAAAATTGACATATTAACTTTTGCTATACCACTACAGATTAACTATTTATTTAAAAATCATAATGGGACCTCAGTGCAAATTTCAAACATACATGTTTATGAGAATATGTGAGTGATGTATATATTATATAATACCTCAATGTGTTCCTCATCTAAAATTTGTTTTGTAGTTTTTATGCCATCTTGTACAACTGCAGCATTCAAATTTGATTCACTAATGTCACATAGTATCAGTTCTTCTACAGAATCTGGGGAGATATGTCTAGATACATAACCACGGCTGCACCCTAAAACAGTTATCAATTAACAATATTACTCAACAGAACATATATATATACAGAGTGGCCCAAAAGTCTGGAAACAGCCAATTATCTCGTAAATTGCTAGTCATAATTGTACAAAATTGAAGGTACACCTATTTTGGGATACGGAGATTCTATATTTGATATTAACAATGTTGCCAGATTTGCCGTTTCTCTTATACCTATTATTAGTAACTTTGATTTTTCAAATTTATCACCCTGTATATTTAGTCATTATTGGAATTTCCTATTCAATACGAGTTCAACCATCTGTAACACTTATGATTTTATGTAGTCTAGAAGGTCTTAAATACATAAAACAGAAGTCTGGCAACGCCTAATTGTCTCAATAAATTTTTTAATACTAACTATTTTTAACTACATTAAACCGTAACAATTGATAGATTACAACATTTTTTAACATAATGGTTACTTTATCAAGTGTTCAAAATGCAAATAATTCGTTGCCTTAGCTATGCAAGACTTGATGGTTTAGTTTTGTAAACTAAGTTTATCAATATCCCCAATAAAAATAATGTTAAGGATCGAAATCAAGTGAACTTGGAGGCCATTCAATTCTGCCTCATCTACCAATGTATCATCCGAGAAATATCTCATATTAATTATGCCGAACATTTACACCAAATTGAGCTAGAGCTCCAGCTTGCTGAAACTATATCTGATTAAAATTGGCCCCAAACAAGTTTCTCAGTGTAGGTATAATTTCATTTCTAAGTAACATTTCGTAACTATCTGATGTTAAATTTCCTTTGATAAAAAATGGCGCAATTAACTGAGTACCTACTATACCTGACCATACATTTAATTTTTGTGGTCTTTGAGTATGGGTTTCACGCATCCAGTGTGGATTTATGTCACTCCAGTACCAAATTGTGTCGATTTACACTTCCACACAGTGTAAGAGTTGCTTCATCAGAAAAACATATTCTGTTAACGAAATTTTCATCATTTTCCATTTTATTCATCATTACCTCAGTAATCTTTAATCTACAATAAAAGTTATCTTCACCTTATTCTTGCAACAAGTTAATTTTGTATGGTTTAAATTTATTCTTACATAATACACGCAAGACTGAAGAACGACCTATATCATGTACTTGTGCAACCCTGGCGTTGTTGGAGAGCTACCTGACAGACAGGCTTCAGGTTGTCAAAGTCAAGAACTGTTTTTCTGAAGAGATTTCAATTAGGTCTGGCGTCCCACAGGGTGGTCATTTATTGACTATTCTTTTTATTTGTTTCATAAATGACATTTTAGAAATCTTTGAAAATTGTGTTAGTTTGTTGTTTGCTGATGATTTGAAAATTTTTAGAAATATTAAGGATGTTAGAGAGTGTGTAAAAATGCAAAAAGATGTAAACAATTTCTCACAATTCTGTACAAAGAATGACCTTTCACTTAATATCGAAAAATGTAAAATAATGCGCTTTTTTAGAAACTCACAACTTATCTTTTTTAATTACTCTATAAATAATATATTTCTGGAACCAACAAACACTTTCAAAGATTTAGGTGTATTTTTTGATCCTACTTTATGTTTCAAAAATCACTATAATTTTATTTGTAATAAAGCTTTTAAATTACTTGGATTTTTTAAAAGAACCTTGTCAGAATTCAATAACCTAGATTGTTTTAAAAGTGTGTATTTTTGTATGGTAAGATCAGTTCTGGAATATTCCAGCACTATTTGGTCTCCTTTATATAAATGTCATATTGAAAGCATTGAGAAAGTACAGAAAAAATGTTTGCGCTTTGTAGGCTATAACTTAGGGATTCCTTCAGAAGATATAGTGTATTGTGACATTTTAAATTTACTTAATAGACAAACATTAGAAAATCGTCTAATCGTCTAATCATAGATTCGCCTCAAATTTTTCAGAGAATCGGTCTTAGAGTTTCTCAAAGGTGCACAAGATCAAAGGACGTTTTTCACTTAGAATTCCAACAAACAAACTATTGTCCAAATAGATGTATAAGATGAATATGTCAATCTGGAAATGGCTTAGATGTAGACTTTTTTTTCTAGCTCTTTACATAGTTTTTGAAAAAGGCTAAAAAAATCTTTTTAAAATACAATGTAGGCTGTCACTGTAAACTGTCATTTAGGTATTTATTCTATTGAAATAAACGTAAAATAAATGTAAATAAACAATTTATTTATTTAAATTTGAAATGGAATAAAGTATTAATCAATTTTCAATACTTATCCAAGGTTTATAAAACAAGTTGAGAATCTGCTGATTACTTCATCAATTAATTCATGATGCATGTCACCCTACAATAATTATTAAATGCAGATATACTGTTACTAAATTTCACATAACCTTTTGTTTGGTTTGAGCTTTATATTCTTGCAATTTTGTGTGTTGCATTTTAAATTTATTTTTAGTTTTAATATTTTACATTTTTGATATTTATATATCAAATGGCACCTTTATTGGTACCACCCATTAATGACAAAGAAACATAAATGCTACCTTGTGGGTACCTTACTATGTGGACAATTTTATTAAGCATCATTGCATGATTAAGTGGAACAATCAGTTGTGGAAGTAGTGTAAAGTAAAAATAAGAGCAATAAAATATTGCTGAAGATATCAAAAGCCGTTGTATTGTAAAATCAATTTAAATTTGTTAATCTCTTACCTATATCTGCTGCTAACTTAAACTTTCTTTTGATATCAAAAAGCCTATCTGCCAGCCTGTAACCAATTTCATCCTTAAGGTAATTATACACATTTACATCTTCAGCTATAGCAGCTCTTTTTCTCTGAAGACTTTTTGTTTTTCGATCAAAAATATGAACAAAACCTGTTTCGTTTTTATGAAAGGTAGAACTTGTGGAAAGGTTCTTACAATTTATAAATACTTTACTTTGATTTGTAACAGAAAACAACTGTTTACTAAATAAAAAATATCTAATGCTATTCATTTTACTTTTTAAGAAATGGAATCAAATCATTATAAATTATTCTTGCATAATTAAAAATGAAAATATTTTGTCACTAATAAACAAGGTTAGGTCTTCTGAACCGTCAAAACAAAGTCAATTATTAGAATTTAGGAGGCACAAAAAAATATTTTTTATATACTTATAAAAAAATAAGTAGTATTAATAATTTCGTTTATAAAGTAATATTTTGCAAAAATATAAACAAAATGACAATATTTTTATTTATTACAATCTCGTGTTACTGTTTGTCTAATCTAATCCTAATATTCAAAAACCACTCGACCGTTTCCGATAATGGCAATAAAATTTTGTGAAAGTGTATTTGTTTTTACTACCACAGAATACAACCACCCAACCATTCATCCGATTTATAATAAATAGGTATTTAAAACATTTTTGCATAGAAAAACTTAAGTTTTTTAATAAAATATTACATAACATTTTTTTCCACTGGGCCATTCAATTTACAGTCATTTGAGTAGTTGCCTAATGTAGGCAACTTACAGTTGTTACAGACATAGCTGGTTATTCCTCTCATTACCACAAACCATACATACTCATTACATATACGGATGAGATTAATGCATGTTTAAAACAATTTTTTTATGACGAAATGTGGTAACAGTTCGTTTGACCATTAACATAAGAGTACAGGTGCAAAATTATCTAAAGGCGTAAATTTTTTCAAAACATTTGCTGGATATTGGAAACGGTGAAATCAAACTGTAGGTATCCAAATACAAAATGTATCAAACTCCCAAATAATTTCTACACTTTTGATGATACCAAACATGAATTAATTGGAAGTATCTTCCCGGCTATACTGAATAATTACTTGAATCATAATTGACTCAGTCGTTGAGTTGCGCCAAATGTAAGCATCTTAAAGTTGTTACAGACATTACTAGTTATTAATTTCTTTACATACACTGATGAGACCAAACATGAATTAGTTGAAAGTATCTTCCTGGCTACACTAATAAATAAATACTTGAATCATAATTGGCTCAGTGAGTGCGCAATTTTGGCGGCGAAAAATGTTGATGTTGGCAAAATTACCTTCCAGATTCAACAGTTATTACCAGGTAATCTGATATCTTTTAAATCAATCTACAGTATTGTTAATAAAGGCGAAACCAGAATTGATCCAACAGTTTTTAAATTCTCTGGATATACCAGGGATGCCGCCACACAATCTTCAGTTGAAAATCGGTTAACCAATTATTCTGCTACGCAATTTGAATCTACCCAGAATCTGCAATGACATACGTTTGGTCGTTAAAAGTATCACCGGAAATAATCATTAAAAGCAAACATTTTGATTGGACGATTTGACGGAGAAATCGTACTGCTGCCACGTATTCCAATGATACCCCTCATATAATGAGGGTATTGTAGTATATTTATATTGTTCTAATTTATAGTTCTTTATTCTAATTTATTGTCTATATTCTAATTTATTAAAACTCACAATAAGTAATTACTAATTTATTAATTAACTTTACAACTATTTATGTTACGTTTCGTTACAATTAAATCGCGTTTCCCGATCTTCTTATGACTAACTCCTCAATGAGAATCTTCCTTTATTTATATGAAACCAGCTTGTAAACAGAATTTTGTAGAAAATACGATGCTGTTCTCGATGTAGACACAGCGGCAACCGGTCTCAAAACTGGTATGTTCTTTATCGGCTCGTCCCCAGAAAATTCGATTGTTGTTTGTTTAACGAAGGGGACCCAAATGATGTCAGGTAGATTTTTGACCTAGAAATTACGAGAATCAATACAAAAGAATTAGTCATAAAATATTTACAGTTCTATACGCCATAACATTTAAAATCGTAACATTGCCCCCCTCTTAAAAGATGGTTCCTCCTGGAACCCTGTCGGGACTGGAACTGGAACGACATGCTGATATCGGCAACTGGACCCTCTTTTACAACTTCCAGTTGTATAAAAATGGCAAGGGACGGTTTTCTCTCCGCACCAGTGACTATGCGGATTGCAACAGACTAACACCTGGACTTCGGTGTCTTTAAAGATCTCCTCCACCATACTTCGAATAACCCTCCAATCTAATTATCGGCACTCTAACTTTGGCATGGCTAACTTTTGCACGTCGGACTCTAGTACGTGCTCTCTCAATCGAAGTAAAGCTTCCCATACATCTCGGTAGGTAGGTTGGTCACGGGCAGTGTCTTTTGTTACCAGGTAGAAAAGGTAACGTGATGCATCTTGGAGTTTCAAGGTTTTACCAGGAGCTGGCACTTGGCATTGAAGTTCTGCAACTCGACCAAACTTCCTTCGAAAGACGGATGCCAACCCTGGTGCGTCTTTGATACTGGCCGGGATGGTAAGGGCCAGTGAGTAGTCATCGGGAAGCGCAAGTAGATCTTGCCTTTCTTCAGTGGTAACACCATGTCTTGCTTTACCGGTACCTCCATAGGCACCCATGAATTCCTCAAACGTGAGGTCAGACACATCTTGGACTTGGTTTACTTCCACTTCTTCATCCAGCCGGTTATGGTGTACTATCATCGGCTTTCCTCTCGGAATCTTGCTTATTCGGTAAATAACATCATTGATCTTCTCCATAATGAGATATGGACCTTCCCAAAACTGTTGCAACTTGGGAGAACAGCCTTTTCGCTTTTTGGGATTATAGAGCCAGACTTTGTCGTTCTTCTTAAAACACCCCTTTTCGGCTTGCGTATCGTACCGTTTCTTCATTCGGCCACTAGCGATCTGGAGATGGGAACGGACCAACTCGTGTACATCGTCCATTCTTCTTCGTAATTCAATCACATAATCTTCACCTGCTACATCTTCTATAGGTCGACACCCAAACTCTAGATCACAAGGTAGTCGCATCTCGCGTCCGACTAGGACTCTGGCTGGTGTCTGGCCTGTTGACTCATTAACAGCAGATCTGTAGGCCATTGTGAAGAACGGGAGATATTGGTCCCAGTCTCGCTGATGATCGGATACCATCTTTGTCAAATACTTGCCAACTGTTCTATTCATCCGTTCTACCATACCATCCGATTGCGGATGATAAGCCGTAGTTCTTGTTTTCATCATACCCAGTCTATCACACATTCCTTGGAATAAGTCGCTTTCGAAGTTCCTGCCTTGGTCACTATGGATCTCCAAAGGCACTCCAAATCGGCTGATATATTCTTGGATCAATTTATCTGCAACGGTGGCGGCCTTCTGGTCTGGAAGTGCGTAAATCTCGACCCACTTAATGAAGTAATCCATTACTACCAACATGTACTTGCCTCCATTATCACTTTCTGGAAATGACTTAGCAATGTCCAAAGCTATTCTTTCAAACGGGCTTCCAACATTATATTGTCTCATAGGAGCTCTCCTTTTTCGATAAGGCCCGTTACTCGTAGCACAAATAGTACATTTCTTACACCAGTCTTTTACATCGTCGGAACTGTTCATCCAATAAAACCGTTCCCGAATTCGCTGAAGGGTCTTTTTCACACCAAAATGCCCTCCTGATGGACTGTCGTGTAACTGACGAAGTACTTCGGCTATTCTGCTCTTTGGAATCACCAACTGTCTTCTCTTCTCTGAACCGTCATCATTTTCCAGGACTCTCTTGTTCTTCCCTGATCTTGGTAGGCGTCCAGTCGTCGTGGACCACCGTCGTTCTTAGCACTGCTGCTTCCTTGGATTCCGTTTTGTTGCAGTGAGAACACTCTGATGGGCATGGTCTTCTGGAAAGAGAATCAGCGTTTCGGTGGCTAACTCCCGCCAGGTGCTCAATCTTAAAATCATATTCTTGGAGTCGTTCGATCCACCTGGCTATCTGACCCTCTGGATTCTTAAACTGCATCAACCACTTAAGGGCGGCATGGTCGGTTCGGATTAAAAACTTCCTTCCATAGAGGTATTGATAGAAGTGCTCTACTGATTTCACTACTGCCAGAAGTTCTCTTCTCGTGACGCAATAATTCCACTCAGGTTTTGAGAGAACTTTACTGAAATATCCAAGGACTCTTTCCTGTCCTCCCTGAATCTGAGACAGCACTCCTTTAATTCCCACATTACTTGCATCTGCATCTAAGATGAACTCTCCTTCTGGCAGTGGATACCCTAAAATTGGTGCTGTGATTAAATGCTTTTTTAAGGTCTCAAAGGCATTTTGGCAGTCTACATCCCAACGGTATTCTCTCGCTTCCTCTGTAAGTCGCGTTAATGGTTTAGCGATATCTGCAAACTTCTTAATAAACCTCCGGTAGTAAGTACATAGTCCCAGAAAACTTCTCACTTGGTGTTTCTCAGTTGGTTTTGGCCATTCCTTAATGGAATCGATTTTTCCCTTATCCACAGCCACTCCTTCTTTACTGACTATATGACCCAGATAATTGACTTTACCTTGAAATAGCTGGCACTTCTTGGGGTTTAACATCAATTGGGCAGCTTTAAGTCGATTAAAAACGTTTTCTAAATTCTTCAGATGGTCTTCAAATGTCTCCCCCAAGACGATTATGTCGTCTAGATAAACTAGGTATGTTTTCCAAGATAACCCTCTCAACACATTTTCCATAAGCCTCTCAAATGTCGCAGGGGCGTTACAAAGTCCAAATGGCATAACGTTGAATTGCCATAATCCAGATCCTGTGGTGAAGGCTGTCTTTTCTTTATCTACCGGGTCCATTTCTACCTGCCAGTATCCAGACTTCAAATTCAAAGTAGAAAATAATTTACTTCCAGCCAATGTGTCTAATGTGTCATCGATCCGAGGCAGAGGATAACTATCTTTCTTGGTAACGTTGTTCAGCAAACGGTAATCCACACAGAACCTCGTTGTTCCGTCTTTCTTCTTAACCAGGACTACCGGAGAGACCCATGGGCTCGTAGAAGGTTCTATCACCCCGTCTCTCTTCATTACCTGAACAATCGTTTCAGCTTCCTTTCTTTTCGCCTGTGGTAATCGTCGAGCTGTTTGACGAATTGGCTTAGCATTACCAGTATCAATTTTATGCTTAACAACGGTAGTTCTTCCTGTCTTTCCT